GACAACTACATAATGATGCATTTTGAGTGTAAGTATTCCTGATTCCCTACTCCATCCACAGAAAACAAATTCAACTTGCAGACCACCACTGAATAATGCACGTCAGTGGGGATTTAGAAGTGGGTAAAAAAAAAGGTCTAATCCATATACCTGCATACAACCTGCACTACACCACTGGATGTAACTTTATTAGTTATAACACATTTATCTGGTGGTGTGAGCTCAAAGCAAGGCAAAGCTGAGAGAGGAAGTTGGTGAAAGTGGAACTGGAGGTACAAGCAGACGGATGGCCGAGCCTAATAGGATTCAGATGGACATGACAGCATCATAACGACACATCTTTTACCTCTCTGTCTCTTTGATAAATAACCCTGCTGCTCGTAAGGAGACGTGACGGAGACAAATCAGCCATGTGATTCATTGCTGCTGATGCTCGGAGGTTGCTCAAGGATGATGATTGTAATAATAACTTGCCCGGATGACAGAGTGCTCAAGAGCCTGGGGAGCACAGTATTTTCAAAAGATTCTTGTGGCTCTCTATCTTATTTTGACAATATACAGGAACTTTTTTTAGGCGACAACTAAATTGATTGAGCTGCTTGTGCTCTTCTTTTTATCTGATTAGACGCAGGAGGTAGATTTCCTCTCTGGCTCTTATTTCTCTTTTGAACATGATTGCATTATAGCACAGCCAGGGTTCATCTGTTGGCTTGGCGGATTTGGCATTGACCCTTCCACTCCCTCTCATTTGTTTTGCGATTTTGGAATGTAGATTGAGCTTTTGGGGTAATTTTAAGTCACTTGTTGTGAAGAGGTTGAGGAAATTTTCTAAAATGTCACATAAAAGATGTCAAAGAAACAGCATAACTCTGAATTTTGATTTGGCTGTAGTGGCTTAACGTTGCAATTACCAAGCCAGTCCCTGACAGAAAATTCAATTGTCCCGCACTGGGGATAGTTTGAATACTGGACCACTGCATTAACTCTTCATCCCACTCCTTGAAGATATTGATTTCACTTGCATTACAACGGGAGCTTCTGATGAAGCCACATGAGGAACATTTCTTCATGTGACCTTTT